TTTCTTACCCATCCCTGGAGCATACTGTAAAAGCCAGGCAGACATAGAAGCTCAAGGATTTCTTCTTATTGATGTCTATAAATTACATTTTACTGCTTTTTCTGGGCAAAAGAGTGCACTCTCCTACAGTTCCTAGAGATGCCCTTTCAGTGTGTTTTCAAGGTTAATGCCGAGTCAAGCACTTCACAACTTCCCACTATGATCAGTACTACCACATGGGGGCTCTGGCAGCAGGCTGGGTTTCTTTGTGAACAGGGGTTTAATGTAAATAATTCATCTTTATAAAATCATTTTATTATACAATAAAGCATAGATGTAGAAAACTACACAAAATAAAACCCATGATTCAATGACCTTGTATGAGATGCACACCACGCAGGTCAGGACAGGGACTCAGCCAGTCTCTGAGAGGCTTCTAAGTGCTGCCTCCCAGTCACAAGACCCATCTCCCTACCCCTGCAGAGAACAATTAGCGTGAATTTAGCACTTGTTTTTTTCATTGCTTTTTCACTTACACATACATCCATAGACGCTGTACATTATTAGTCTTGTCTACTTTTAAAAATATGTGTGAAAGTCTCTTTTAATCAGTGAGTTTGTCCTCCATCCACTTCTCTTCCTCACGATGTAGCTGCCAGGGAACCAGGCCCTTGAGTTGTAGTTTTGCAGTCTGCATTGTATTGATTGCACACAAAGGACCTACCTCTTCAGTTCACCTTCTTCTCAGTTTTCTGCAAAATTGGCAACAAGTTCCCGAGTCAAGTCTGTCCTTTAGCAGTGCTGGAGGTGGCGCTTGGTGTGATTGCTGGGGGCGCAGAGGGACGGCTGGAGTATCCAGGCACAGCCTAGGGTTGCTATTCACAGGTTAAATTTCTCCTACTCCAGGGAAGCCCCAGCTCTACTCTTTCAGACATTGCAACTGATGCAATCAAGTCTACCCAGAATACCTATACTCCCCTTTAAGGATAATTACCTTTACTTAGTGTCAATTGGTTATGGACTTTAATCCCATCTTCACAATACCTTCACAGGGACACTTAGGTTAGTGTTTGATTGACTAATGGGTCTATAGCCTGGCCAAGTTCATACATCAAAAGGCCATCACGGATATCAAGTGTATTATTGATTTAGATATTTTAATTAACATCTTTATAACATCATTATTACTAGGATTTGCTGATAGTGCTTTTGCACATATCACCCACTACTCTCAACATCTCTGTTGAATAAGCAGGTTCAAATCGCAGTTCCCATTTTTAGAAGAAAAGGTGGAGGTGTGAGAAGTATAGTAGTCCCCCTTTATTCACAGGTTTGCTTTCCATAGTTTCAGTGACCCAAGGTCACCTGAGGTTTGGAAATATTAAATGGAAATTTTTTTTAATATACTTTATTGATTTTTACAGAGAGGAAGGGAGAGGGATAGAGAGTTAGAAACATCGATGAGAGAGAAACATTGATCAGCTGCCTCCTGCACACTCCCTACTGGAGATGTGCCCGCAACCAAGGTACATGCCCTTGACCGGAATCGAACCTGGGGACCCTTGAGTCCGCAGGCCGACCCTCTATCCATTGAGCCAAACTGGTTAGGGCAATGGAAAATTATTTTATAGGGTTTAGGCATTTCTTTGTTGAATAGGTATCTATATAAGAACTTGTTTTATTGTGTGTGTTTTTTTAAGTGTAATAGAGACAATTTTATCAAAGCAGAACCTTAAGGCTGGTTAAAATTGAGATTTATATGTGTTTAATCCTTGAGCTGATCTATAATGTGGTATATATGTGGATGGGATTCCAGTTTCTTTCTTTTTTTTATTGATTTTTTACAGAGAGGAAGGAGAGGGATAGAGAGTTAGAAACATCGATGAGAGAGAAACATCGATCAGCTGCCTCTCGCACACCTCCCACTGGGGATGTGCCCGCAACCCAGGCACATGCCCCTGACCGGAATCGAACCTGGGACCCCTCAGTCCGCAGGCCGATGCTCTATCCACTGAGCCAAACCGGTTTCGGCACAACTGATAAGTTTTAAATTGAATGCCACTCTAAGTAGCATTATGAAATCTTGGACCAGCCTGCTCCATCCTGCCCAGGATGTGAATGATCCCTTTGTTCAGCATATCCACGCTGTATATGCTACCCACCCATTAGTCTCTTAGTAACAGTCTCAGTTACCAGATTGACTTTAGTGGTATTACAGTGCTTGTGTTCAGTTAAATCTTATTTTACTTAATAATGGCCCCAAAGTGCAAGAGTAGTGATGCTTCAGATATGCCAAAGGGAAGATAAAAGGTACTTGCTTTAAGTGGAAAGGGGAAAGTTCTGAACCTTACAAGGAAAGAAAAAAAAAAATCACATGCTGAGGTTGCTAAGATGCATGCATGCTAAGACTCAGTCTTCTGTCCCTGAAATTGTGAGGAAGGAAAAAGAAATTCATGCTGCTTTTGCTGTCTCAACTTAAACTGCAAATGTTGTGACCACGAGGCGTGGCAAGGGCTTTGTTATGATGGAAAAGGTGTTAATCCTCAGTAACTACTTTGGTGAACTTACTATTATCAGTTTAGTCTAATGATTCCTAGAGGAATACTATTTTCTTATTCAGTGCTTAATCTTTTGAAATAAATGTAATTTCTAGCAGGTGTGAGTGTTTTTTTTTTCCTAAATAATATAATGTTTCTAAGCCTTTAAGTTTGCCATGACACCCCTACATGTATCTAAAATGCTTCAATGTAATTGTTCAGTAATAATGATGATGATAGCCAAAACCGGTTTGGCTCAGTGGATAGAGCGTCGGCTTGCGGACTGAAAGGTCCCAGGTTCTATTCTGGTCAAGGGCATGTACCTGGCTTGCGGGCATATCCCCAGTAGGAGATGTGCAGGAGGCAGCTGATCGATGTTCCTCTCTCATCGATGTTTCTAACTCTCTATCTCTCTCCCTTCCTCTCTGTAAAAAAAATCAATAAAATATATTAAAAAAAATAATGATGATGATAGCTGTGTTATCTCTGTGACAGAAAAAGTGCATGTGGCAGACAAGCCCTGGTAAGGAACCTTATGTCCTTGGGCTTAATATGGCTGGATTGTTGTATGATTGGCTTCAAGTTCACATAATTATAGTATACAAATTTACTTTGGGATTCGTTTTGGAAAAAATGACAAGTACTGACAAATCAGATGCCATCCTCATAATGCTATTAAACAGGAACCTAAATACCCATCATACAGAACAGTCTCTTTCCAGTCTCTCCCGCTCTAAGAGGACGTAGGAGTTACATATCATTATTTGCTCAGGAAAAGCAGTGAAAAATAACTAAAACAATAAATGTGATTTAATTTTTTTCCCTTCAAGTCAGTAGAGTGAAATAATCTCTGAAAGTGTTCTAAGTGCCACATTATTTAAGTTACAATTAAATTGCATTTATTTCTCAAGCTTGGAAAAGAGAAGATGAAGTAAACGGTACCGAATTCTAACTGTACCATATTAACTTTGAGGATTTTAAGCTGAAAGTAATAGAAAGCTAAATGTGTTCTGTCACTTAACAGGAAGTCCAGAAAGAAGGACTTGCTGACAACATTTCAGACACTTTATCAAGAACCTGCTTCTGTCTTTCATCTTGACCTGCCCTCCGTAGCATTTAGGAAGGGTGAGACAAAGAAAAGGACAGCCACCGTGCCTTCCCTAGAAGCAAGAAAATCTGGAAATGATGGCCTATTCCTGACAAATCTCATTGGCCAGAATCAGGGCACACACCCATTTTTAGGCCTGTTCCTGTTCATGGGAATAGGACTGCTACGATTGTTTTCAATCAGTGTGTCTAGGGCAGTGGTTCCCAAACTTTTTTTGGCCATGTCCCACCTAAGCATCTCTACAATCCTGATGCCCCCTCTGTGACGTATAATTCTTATTATTCAAAAGTGAACTCCTATTCACGTGGAAGAAGCCTAAAAGGCCATAACTTGGTCTAAGAAAGTTTCCAAAGAACATGGCATCCATGAAAGAGAAAAATAAAAGAACGAAAGGACAGTTGAAGACCTTTCTGAGGAAGAAATCACTAAGAAATTGTTAAAAAAAATCATATGAAGTGATATGAAAAAAATAGCAAATAAAGTGTCAAAACATATAATAGAGAACTGAAATGCATAACTATGTCACAGTACATATTTATATACTGTATGTGAGGCCCCTAGAACCATAAGAAATGCAAAAAATTCATTGTTAATAACTCATTCTTGAATTGCTCCCCTTAAAAATCAAATTGCCCCCCTGTGGGTCATGTGCCCCACATTGGGTACCACTGGTCTAGGGCTACCATATCTTGATGCATAACCTAGAGATCTTATTAAAATGCAGATTTTGATTCAGTAGGTCTAGGGTGACCTGTAGACTTTGCATTTGTAAAACTCTGACAGGGGAACCTGATGCTACTAGTCTGTAAGTTGCAAAGGGTTTGGTTAATAATCTGGTTATAATAGATGTTGGGAATTAACCAATATTACTATTACACTACTTGATGCCAGAAACTGAACTAGTCAAATAAACACTTCATACATCATTCATGCTGAAGCTTAGTTGATTTAATGAAGAGTTGATCATACTTAGGGATTTCAATGACTTGTCAAGATTACTTGGTAAGTGATAAGTCTCTGCAACCCATGCTGTACCTGCGCAAAGTGGACAAGAAACCATGATAAGGATCTGGGGA